AGCTAAGGGCACGAGGATTTGTGATCTCCTTTTAATGAGATGGAGAAACCTCCTTTCCTAAGCCCCACTCGCCCGCATCCTGTGGGAGAGGCAGGTTCTGGAGTGCAGTTATTTCACCGTGAGGTTGCAGAGGGCGCAGACACCTCTCAGTCTCCGATTCCTCATTAACTTTTCCGCGCTTTCCTGAGGTATAAGATGGTCGCCACCGTCCCCTCTACAAGCAGCAGAGACACAAGAGGGGAGGCTGCAGAGCCTGGACAGAGATGGTGGTGATGGAGGCGGCCTGTCCAGCTGCCCTCCTGGTGGCTGATTTCATCTTGTCAGCCAAAAGGAGGTCGGTGTAAACTCAGGGTATTAAGGACTTCAGGGAAAAGACCATGAGTGCGGCTTTCATGCTCAGCTCTTCTGGAATTTTCCGCAGCCCGCCATGGCGTCAAGCGAGCGAGGGGACGGCGTCTGCGTTTCAGGCACCTCAGGCAAAGTGCGCCTATGCCTGCTGAGTATGGCCTTCACCACCCAGTTGAGGTGATGACCGTAGTACATGTCCTTCCTAAAAAAAAACCTCTGAAAACTGTGAATGAGCCCAGCTGCGTGAGCAGCAGACATGGCCGCACTGCAGCTCTGCGAGCTGGGCCGCGGGTCTGCACTCCCAGATCAACCCGAGCCGCCTGCACGGAGGCCCTTGAGCCGCTGACATTGCACCTTGCTGCTGTTTTTCATGACATCGTGTGGGACCGCGTTTATCTAAACCACCCCACGAAACCGCGCCGTGCCGTGCTGGTTACATTTCGGGATGAATTTTTCCTTCAGCTCCAAATTCGTTTGATGTGAAACTACTATAAACTTAATGCAAACAAAGGTAAGATTTTTCAAACCACATGTACCACAGCGATGATCACTTGGGCTGTAGCACAAAGGTGGCACCTGGATATCACATTTGTCCCTGGGCCTCACATAATGTCTCTGGTGGGCTCGCGCGTGCCCTGGTCGCCCAGGTGTTGCTGCGTAAGTGAACACAACATTTCCACTAATTTAAGGAGTACTTTACTTTACTTCATGCTTCTGTTTGCAGATTTGGAAGTATGTGACCTTTACACCACTAATAATATTGTTCATTTAGGGCTGTGGGAGCATCACATCAACCTTCTCCCTTCCTCTGCCTCCCACTGCTACCTTCTGCTTTGGCCAATTAATTTACCAGGCATTTTTTTTCTGTCTGTTTGTTTTCATTGTGCTTGGAAGCATTTTCAAAAGGGAAAAAAAAAGTCTGAGCTTGCTGTATTTGTTTTGATAGAAGCAAATATTTTCTTTGGGTAAATACCTTTTTTTTTTCCTGTTAGAGAATCTGATTGCAATTTCAAAAAATAACAACATTTTAGCAATTAAATATGACCATACAGTATAAATATTTATGAAGTACAAAGGTGTGGCTAAATAACATTTGATTTTCACTCAAGAACAAAATAGCCCTGGGACATGACATAACAAAATTCCCATTTCTTACTCTCAGGAGGATATGGAAGAAACATCCATAAACATTGTCAGCTGAGACTAGGTAAAAAGGCTCCAAAATGAAAAACCTCAAGACATGCAGGAAGGAGAATTAATTCATCAATGCCAACTTAGACTAACTGCAAATATATCTTGAAAGGTAGAATATCATTATCCTGCTGATTTATAGAGTAAAGAACAATATAGACAACACTGTGTAAAGACAACAGTGAGCATTGCTATAGCTCAGTATTAATTAGTCACATGAAATCTTGATTTTTTTCGATTGTCCTCAGGTGATTTGTAACATATGAGTGAAATACATTACACTTGCCAATCTAAAATGTAATGAAAATATGTAGGTCAGGTTTGCTGCCATACTTAAAGTACTGATTGAAATGCTGCCCACCAACAAAATAATAGTAATTTCTTGCAGGAATTATAAAACTTAAACTATAGTACAAAGCATTGTGCACCAAATTACTCATTCCATAAACCACAATTATAGCCCACATGTTTTCCAATACAGATAACAAAAGATACATTTTAAGATCTGCACTTACTCTTCCTTTAATAAATAAAGTGAGCTTTTCACAAGCTACAAAATGATACAAAAACATTCCTCCATTTAAAGATTCAATCAAAGACTTGCCATGAATGGTGTGATATTAAAGTTTAAAAAAATAATCAATTTAGCTTGTATTTTTGGACATGATTTGTCACAAATAGCATTCCCAATAGATAAGAATGATTATATAGTAAAGAGCGTAATTTATATATCTCAAACGCTATGCTTTTGTCACTGACATCGTTAAGGAATTTGACACGTTTGCAGGAGAACAATATATGTCAACTGAAATATATACCAATTAGCTATAAATGGGACACTGAAATGAATGATGCATGTGCATGCTATACTTACAAGTAATAACATGTGGTTTAAAGTCACTTGCGTTTTCAAACAAGAATTCTTTTCATGTTGTCATTTAAAAAATCTAATATTTCAAAAGGTCAGGAATAAATAGCACCATTAGCATTAAAAGCTAGCTAAAGGGAAAGTAATTTGTTGTTCATTTAACATTGCATTTTATGTAATAGCTTTGTAAAGTGTTCAGGGCGGGGGGGTGCAAGAGATTTTACTGTGCAAAAACAAGGTGACGGCAGCTCCAGTTCATTATTAAAAGGAGATTTTTTATTATACCATTGTCAACTTTAATGTCTTGATTCTGTTAGGTGTTTGTTAAAATTACATGGGCTGCTGAAATGGCTATGGCAAAAGATAATGCTGAGAATATCGGGACTGTCAAAACAATTGTGTAGGCAAGGATCTGCTTATACTAAGGTAAGGGAACAAAAGACAAAGGAGAAACTCTCTTGCAGTGTTAGGA